TTTGTATTAAATAGGGGAACTTGTCGGCAAATAAAACGGTTTCGCAGACCCAAACGGATGTCATATCTTTCTTAGTTTATTTGATCGAGCCTCACCCTCAAGTCTTGTGTTTATCCTTTGGGGTAGATACAAGATTTGAGGTTGAGTGCTCTTTCATTTAAACTATGGAAAATATGAGGTCAGTTTGATTTCATATTTTTCTAAAATTATATATATATACGTAAATCAAAAAGTCCTTCCGAAGCGGGCGACGGGACTTCGATTCCGGCGACCGACAGCTTCTTACGGGCGACCCCCAAACTTTAAAAAAAAAAAAAACTCTCTTTTCCCCCTTTTAAGCGCCGACAAGCATCTTGGAGATTTTGTATCGAGGTGATTTGAGAGAGAGGCCATGGCAAGATGAGAGCTCATTGATCTTGGAGATTTTGTGTCGAGGTATAATCCCTTTGCAACAAGTCTTGTTTTATACCTGACCTCTTAAATGCCTGGCAGCGGGGCAGTTTTTTTCCAACAAATTGTATAATTAAACATTTGCTCAAGTTGCAATATTTCTTATTATATATGTTAATAAATATATGGAAACCCAATTTGTTGCATGGTGATACTGGAGGAAAAATGCCCAGGCTGCAAAATAAAATGCGAATGATAATATTATTGCTGAAAAGATTACAACAGGACTCAGGCTACAATGATAACTATTCAAAGCAGGAAATAAATGACGACATGCACCAATAACACCCTCGAGGCGATGATTAAGGAGGAAGGGCTGCTGAATGGCTGTTGTAGCTGGGCTGTAGTGGGGAAGGAATTGGGGTGGGGCTGTCGTCGGGTTGTTAAATGTGTGGGAGAGAGTGGGTTGCTGCAGAGACAGCTGTGAGGAGAGGGACATTTGTGAGATTGCAGCAGGGAAAAGGAAGGTACCGTGGGACAGCTGTGAGGAAGGTGTCAGTGGCTGTACAGGTGGCTGTGGGGAGGTGGGGGGCGTTGGTGGGGTGTGAGGGAGCAGCCGGCAGGGTTGGAAAAGGGTTAGAGTGGTATACTGTTAGACTGGCTGCAGGAAATTTCAATCAAGGGGATCTAGTGGTTGGCTGGGTTCACAGGGAGGTGAAGGATAGCTACGGGAGCTGGTGTCACGGAAGGATACGGGATCTGGGTTTCACGGGAGTGGGGTAACAGCGGCTGGGATTTTGGGTGGGGCGGGGAAAGCAGCGAGCATTGGAGAGTGGTTGCGAGCGAAGAAAGATACAATCATCACCAACGAGGAAAGGGATACAACCGGAGCACCACCCTAATCGTTAGATACAGCCCCCTGAGGGGAAAATCGGATGTCGGCGGCTGTCATCGCAAATCTGAAATCAGAAATAACATAAACTGAAACCCTAAGACCTAAAAACACATATAAGTAGAAGTGAGATGAATGAGAAATGAAAATAAGAAGACAAGAAATTTTCCACCTAATGAAAAGAGGGGAGAAGGTGCTGGTCACAATTAAACCGGTTCGGGTCAAACCGGTTCAGCTTTTGGAGGAAAAGCCCCTTGTCAAATGGTTTCCATGATGTTAAGTTATTGCTGGTCTTGGGAGCTCTATACATCCAATTACTTATTTTTTGCATCCATTTACTATTTCTATTATTAGGATGTAAGTGCTTCCTACGATACATTAATATAGCATAATTTTTCTTTTTTTTGTAAGCAATCAACTATTATGCCTTAGTCATGATATTTGTTTTTAGAATAGTTATGCTTTAAAGTTTACTCATTATTACCAGTGAAGACGTTATTTCTTTAATCTTTTTGAGATGGATTTAAAAAAAATCCATATTTATAAGCTTTTCTTTCTTGAATAAACTTTCAACTATTTTGCATAAATTTCCTCTCATCTGAGCTTGATAATTTGTTCTATGCAACTTTAGGATTAACTGATGTTTTTTTTTGAAATCATTTACATACATACCACACAATTCTTTTGTATTTACATATCTAACACACAAACTTTAATATTTAGATGCTTATCAGTCAAATCTTAATATCACATCAATTATACCACTATTGCCTCTTTTTTAACAGTGAAATACACTGTTTCATGCATAAATTATCATACTAAACTGTTATAAATATAAATATAAAAGTTTGGTGTTAGATATATAAATACATAGGAATAGTGTGGTATTTACATAAGTTTCTCTTTTCTTTTTCATTATGCATCATCATTGATCCTGATTTGAAGTTTTTAATAACTAGGAGAAAATTATTAAACTCATGTCCCCTATCAACAGTATATTAGCCGGTATACAATGTGTGTATTTGTAGTCTGTTATGAGAAAGACTGCCATGGATCATGTGCAAAGGGGACCTTTGACTGTTATAGGGATCTTATTGCAAATTTTAGATGCTGGTACTTGATGGGAAGTTTTCAAATAACTACAGTATTTTGTTAGGGAAACTTACATAGCACGCAGTTCTTAGGTATTTACATATCTAACACCTAAACATTCTTCTGCAAAGGGGACCTTTTAATGGTAAACGGACCTTAATGCAAATTTTAGTCGCGGGGTGCTCGCTGGAAAGTTTTCAAATAACTACAATGTTTTGTTAGGGAAACTTATATACCGCTAAATTCTTTAACTTCACATAAAAAATACCATCATCACTATAGTTTTAAAAGTGAAGTACACTTATTCATGCATACGTTTACGACACCAAAGTTTTATAAGTGTAAATATCAAATTTTAGGCATTACATAGGTAAATACATAATAACTGCGTGGTATGCATGTAAATTTCTCAAGTTGTTATTGCATTGCAGGATATCGTGCAGTAATTTGTGGCATGGATCCTATTTGCTGTGAATCAAGTTCTTGGATGGAGGTTGCTGATGTTGAAAAGTTATCTCGAGGGGCTAACCAACCGTTTTATCAGGTATCCTCGTCAGCAAGGTGACTCTTATCTAATATAGGAATGCATCTGATATAAATCTGACTTTAGCTCTGTCGAGTGGAGTGGGGTTTTGTGTGCAACAAACTAGATCACCTATCCTTTAATCTTTATTTCATAGTTTCAAACTAAGGAAAATTTTTTTCTACAATCTAGTGCTAAAATTGTATATATCGATGCACAATATTTTTATGTTTTAATGCTTATTGTTTAGGGTTTAGTAAGTTTCTTTTTTTAATGGATGCTTTGTTTTATGAAATTTCAATTAAGTTAGGGATGTTTTAATAAGGTGATTTTCATTAAAACTTGGAATTGGACTATATTATGGTATGAAATCACTTTTTGAACGCCTCTATGTAGGGAATTCATGGACATTTTTAGTTTAGCACTGCTAACTCTGAAAATTGTATGGTAAGATCATATTTTAGGTTACAAGGAAGAATGATAATTTATTTGGACTATTGAAGAATCATATTTTAGGTTTGGATTTGGTTGTTATATTTGAAATAATTGAATGGGGAATGGTTGGGATGTTGATTAAGGTCTCACAGTTCTGTTATTTTGAGTATACCAATCTGCCAATATCATGAGTTGCTTTTTCTTAGGTATCTCGAACAGAGTAGGTGGAAAACATGTGTGTCGAAGATATGCTTTTAAAGTTAACATTGACTTCTTTACTAGAAAAAAGGTTTGTTGTATCAATCCCTGAATACTTGGGACAAACAGTATTACTAATTGTAATTTAGAGATGTGAACTTGATTGAAAAGTGCCCAGAGACATAACATGAAGATTAGTAATCCATGAGCTTTTTAGTTTAACTTGAAAAGATTAAGACATACAAAATTTACTTGGTGGGTTTTGTTTTGATTGATTTACTTGTAGCATCATGGAATTACATCTATTGGAAGGTCCAATACATAAGCATATTTTGACATACTTATTTGCTTTTGTGCTAACCTTGATTAATTAGGATGCTACTTATATATATTGCAAATGCCTTGTGTGTGACTTACATGGAATGCCCAAAAGTGGTATTTACAATTCTACTTGATGGACACGGTGGCCCTATTAAATATATTTGTTTGAAAGGTTAGGTTAATGCAGTATCATTAATCAGGATTAGGCTTATATCCATTCGAAGGTTCAAGAATTAGGCTTATAAACTCAAGAGCAAGGAAAGCCTAGTGTTTGCCATTGAGACTCTTGATTTTAATATGATATTTGGAATTAACTTAATTTTGAATTTGATTTCTATTATGGGCTTATGATTCTATTTTGGAGTTGCCCAGATGATTGAGGTCATAGATCTTACTTTTGACATGCCTTTATGTGGAATTCATGACTTTGATGTTGGAGTCTACGCAATGATGGTCACAGAACCTCACCTTATAGGCATAGGCAAGGCAACTTCAATCAAAGACCCATAGATAAATTGTTATATTACCAGATCAAACTTGATCCTAGGCCTATTTGCTTGATCAACATAATCAAAATGTTTGAGTTTTGAACATGGGAGTATCATGTTAATTTGGTTCTTAAAGGTGCGCTTTGGTGAATTGCTATCGTCAAAATGATGTTGCAATGCTCATGCAATTATTGCAAGATTTTGTTTTTTATGCCCTTGGTTGAATTTGCTGCCATTTAAAGGCTACAATGCATTTACATGCTCTGTAAAGCAACATATTAGGTCAAGTCAAAATGGAATTGAGTTTCAAGATGCTACCCAACCAAAATATTTTTATAAAATTTTATTTATAGCATGGGGTTATCCTATAATTAGATTTTATTTTTTGCTAGGTCTCTAGTTTGTAATTTCTATCAATTAAAAAAAATTCAAAGTTTTAACATGTTACATTACTTAATTAAGTACTTCTTTTTCTTTTTAATTCGGTTTGTTTTACTTATGACTAGATCAAAAGAAAAAGGCTGCTTTGCTTTTAATGACTTGGCAACCAATCACCGAATTTACATTTTAATATACATTTTTGCTCATCCATTTGTTGAAGATGAATGATATAGAGTTAAAAATTTAGACAAGAAAACACTAGGCATGGCTTCCTTTTTTCAATGCTCCTCTATGTCCAAATAACAATCACTTTATAAGTATTGTGAAACCAAAGTAAGCACACGGTGATGTGTTGGAGCAAATTAAGCAAATATGGGCATGCTTAACATTTACTTTAGTTTTCCCTTTTGTGTGGCATTTCGGCAAATGTGCCCATTGGTTTTGTGAGGAGGTTGGTTTGATTAGGATTTGAAGTATTCGTGGTTGAAGATGATTAATTCATGTTTTGATTATATTTGAAAATGTTTCGAAGGAGTTTTGATGGCGGTCTTAACAAATTCTTAGCAGGTACGAGGATGATTAACATTCCTCTTGGTTTAAGGTTTATAGTGGGATCAACGTATTCAAAACTAAATAAACAAACGTATAACATTACTGACAGATCACTTACCTTGAATATATAATGAATAGAGAGATGGTCACCATGAAACTTTGCCGCGACCTAAACACTTGATACAATCACTAGAAATGAAGGCGCTCTGAAGAGAAAGAATTGAGGAGCTCATATTATCTAAATGTCACAACTATTCAGCTAGGGCTTTGACTCCTATTTATAATATGCTAGATGTTTTGTTCTAAAATAAACTTTTGAGCATTTTTCTTGAAGAAAATAAGGAGCATATTTCTTTATATTAAAGCTATTATGAGGTATATAAAGTTAATTTCTCATGCAGTAAACAATTCTGTGATCCACCATTTGGAGGAAAAAAAAACTTGGTAGAAATAGTTTCAACTTTAAAATCGTAGGCATTTTTTTCTTATTTTGGTCATTTGATTTTAAGTTAATTTTGATTGCAGCCTCCTTTGATTTTTTTTTTTTTCAATTGCAGTTGACGATCTTGAGCGGGGTAGGTGGTGAGCTTCATAGGATGCGAATGTCTCAATCCATCCTTGATGGGTTTTTTGTGGATGATTATGCATGAGAGGGTAGGGGCAGAGTGAGGAGATTTTTTTAGTAGGAGCACAGACTTCTAATTTCAAAAATACCCTCAACTTTCTTCATTTGGATGTGAGACATTAGTGATTTAAAAAAAAATTGTTTAAATATTATTATAGGAATACTCTAAATTTTTGTGCTTAATTATTTGTAGGAAAAAATCAATTAAATTGCTCATAACTTGTTCTTTGCAGAATAAGTAATCATTATATAATAATTATTTATTTGGAAGAATAGAAGAAAATCTTCTAAATTTCCTTATAAAATATAAGTGCATTAATTGACAAATTACTATATTTTTATATTATACATATTTTAAAATAAATTCATGATAATTATTATACTTGTTCATGTCAAAATGAAATATTTTTATTAAGATATCTCAACTAAGTTTTAGCTAAAATAAAATTTGAAACTCTTAGAATTTATTTTAACATAAGTTTAATACATAAAGATTTTAATTAAAATTTTTATTATAATAATATTATAATAACTAAAAAAAGTTACATATTCATTTTAATTTTAAAAAATCCTGTCCTAAATTTAAAAAAAATAAAATTATCTGATATTATTATTGATCGAAGAGTTCCAAGTCACCAAATATTGATCATAAACGCAATCAAAAACCTCAGTTGCCAATTATATGATTTTTGTTTAAATGCAAAAGTGTCGCACTATAGTTTGCATTATGATTGATGTTTAAATGCAAAAATTTTAGTCATGCATAAAAAAACATATTATATGGTTGTTTTTTAAATGCAAAAGCATTGCACCATAGATTAAACATCTCGAATAGTATTTTGACGTGTTGGCTTTGGATGTGCCAGGCTTTAATATCTATGTAAAATTTAAGAGTAAAATTTTAATATTCTCATTTTAAGGTTTCATTTTAAGGTTTAATAAGTAACTATTCATTTACATATTTAATTAGTTTTGGTTTGTCTTGATAAGATTGAACGCGTGATTAAAATCTAGTAAAGGTAAGTTCAAGTTGTGCTCAAATCAAACTTAAATGATCATAAATTTAAATGAATTGAGCTTCAGGGTCTGTTTGGGGCAGCTACAGTTTCTCAGCTTTTCAATTACAGTTTAGTTGCCCCAGAAGTTGTTTCGGGGAAACTGGTTGGTTATTTGTTGTAATTGTGTGAAAACTGCTGTGTGACAGCTATTTCTGGACAAATGATCATTTTGCCCCTGTTTAGTAATATTGTTTGTAACAGAACTGTGAGAGTCATATATTTGATACTTCAGAAGCATAAATTCACTTCAAAACTGTACAAAAATTCAGATACATAACTCACTCAATAGTATGTACCAAAAGTGTTAAAAAAGGTAATCAGAAATTGAATAAAGTTTTTATTGTGTTGAATAAATTACAGATAATAAAATAAGAAATTCTCCAATTATTCTTCTACTATCGCATCAGTAATATGTTCCCTCAACTCTGTCATCTCGTTTGCACCTTCCTCGTCTACAGTACGGATGGTGGAAGCCTCACTGTCATGTTGTGCCAACGACAATACTCAAAAAATTCGGCAGATACATGTTTTTGATCCTCGCCCGCTCGACAGAAGTCAATGTTGTTGCGGGAAGGATGTCGTTGAATGTAATTGTGAAGATTCATCGTAGCAGTCACAAATTTGTACATGTTTGGGAAACGGGTAGGAAGACGTATCGTGGAGTATAACTCATTTTTTCTTCCAAACACCAAAAGTTCTCTTAATGACACCACGTAATGACGAATGTCTTTTATTGAACATTTTTTTTTCTGCCTCGTGTTACATTGTTTGCACTTTCAAATTATGGTATGCGATATCTAGTATCAAAAAATGACTTGAGATACCCTCGTCAACGGATATCCAACATCGACCAAGTAGTGTTTACTTGATATAAATTGTATATTTAATATGAAACTACCTCTTCAACCCTAGATGGGATAAAGTGCTACATGGTGAAAGTCACCTCTAGAACTTTATCTCTCTGGTGGATTCTGGGTTATGTAAACCGATGAGAATGTCAATTGCTGGATTGGGGGAAACTGTGGAACCCATTAAGTAAAATGTTGTTGAACTCCTAAATTCCAAGTGTCTTATGTTGTAACGTTTGGACTATTGAAAGAAAATTCAAAGTTAAACGTGCTCATAGGGAGCACTCCTGGGATGGTGATCTCCTATAAGTTACATCAATAAGACAAAACTGTTAGTTCATTAGACCAGTGCTGACAATATCGGGTGAGAGTTTGGTCTATTACATAGTAAAATATTTTTTGGCTCCGCAAATGCATATTTGACAATTGGCTGCCAAATAAAATGATGAATGTTAAAGTTTAAAAAGAAAGTAGATAAACAATGAATTAACAATGGCTCAGAATTAGTTATATTATAAAATTTTAGAATGGGGAGAATTTATGGCCTACACTGTAATTAGTTAGCGAAATAAATTTAACAGGATTTGGCTTAACTCCATTATATAACAAATATATACTTTTCAATTCAATTTTGATGCCAACAATACTTATAAGCTATTTGCATCCTGAAATCCATCCAATCTTTACAGGTTTTGGTTGATGTTCATGACGACCCCAACTTGCTCGTTGCTTATGGTAACTTCATTGATCCTCTAGTGTTATATTTTCTTATGTTTTAGCACCAATGAAGTAAATCATATCTGCAGAGTTGAGTAAACTTACTGATTGTTAGAAGAATTTATTCTACATCAATATTTACTGCCGAGTTTTGGGCAATGTGATTTTTGCAGTGTTTGTCTGTGCAATCAGATCCGTCTTTGTTGATTTAATTTTTTTTTTTTTACATATACACTCAGCAAAATTTTTTTGGCCAAAAGCTATGTTTGTCTTTTCTGTAAATCATTCTTTTTTTCTCTAGCTAACTATTTTTCACTTTATGTAGTTTTTATGGTCTAATATGTGCATTAACAGCATTTTGTACGTTGAAGATTTTTTTTGTTAATTTTCTAGGTCTGTTGATCACCTAATGAATCATCTTTTTTTTTTTCTTGGAAGATTTACATACATACCGCATAATTCTTATGATTTACATATTTAACACTTAGACTTCAATTTTTACATGGATGCCACCTTTACCTATGCATGAGAAGGTATATTTGCTTAGTGAGCCAAACCCAAGCTGTTCACGAACAAAGAGTCGTTTTGACAACCCTAATCACATAGCCATAAGATGTTAAGGGTTGAAAGATTTAAAAAATTTTGTTTATATTAAAACATCATTTTAATCTAATTTAATAATTTTTATTTTATTTTCTTAATTAATATTTTTAATTGATTATAAATCTTTGTAGTCTTGCAGTCAATATACATATATATAATTGATGAGTAGTATTTCGAGCCAAAACGAGTCGAACACGTACGAGCAAATCTTTGTTCGTATTTGACTCGTTAACTTAGCGAACGAGCCGAACACGAGCTGTTTGCAAACAACGAGCCGTTTTGACAGCCCTAATCAATGTGATAATGAAGTTCTTATAGAGCAATTCATAACAATAATCTTATAGGAGTATTACATACCAATGATATCTCTCTTTCTAATGAAATAAAACCTCGAAAAATAATAATTACTGTGAAATTTTCAAAACTTTCTTTTATATGTTTGAACCATGACTGAGTTTGTGTTCCTTCTTCGTAGGACATAAATTAAGCTCCATAGCATAACAAACAACTCGTTTTCATTAGGATTTATTTGGGATCATTTTTTTTGTTTTTAAAAACATATTTGTATAATATGTTTTTAATATATTTTTATTTTTTATTTCTAAAAATAAATAAACATGTTTTTGAAAATACTAAAGAAAATTTTAAGTGTTTTGAGTGTTTTCATAAACCTGTTAATTTATTTATAGAAACAAAAAAAAATATATATATATATATAGAAAATACACTAAACTTACATGTTTTTTAAAATAAAAGAAAAAATAAAAGCAAATATAAAAATACAACAACAACAAGCCTTTATCCCACTAAGTGGGGTCAACAACAACAAGCCTTTATCACAACTTACTTTTCATATGAGGATCAAGTTTTGGGTTCTTTTGAGTGTCATATTTTCATTTAATTCTAATAAATTAATATCATTTTTTATACAATATGCCCAAATTTTTCTAGGTCTACTTCTGTCTTTCTTAACATAAGTTGACTCTAAAACATCCACTCTCCTAAACAGATCATCAGATGGTCGACATTTAATATGACCAAACCATCTAAGGCGGCTCTCTCTAATTTGGCCTACCATTGGAGCTACACCAACCCTATCAGGAATATATTCATTTTGCATTTTGTCTCTTAGTGTAAAGTCACTCATCCACCTAAGCATGGTCATCTCGGCAACACTTAACTTAGTTTTATGCTTTTCTTTTAAAGTCTAACATTTTGCGCCATAGAGCACTACAGATCTCACGACCATCTTATAAAATTTTTCTTTCAGTATAAGCGGTACTTCTCTATCACACAAAAGGCCTAAAACATGTCTCCACTTCAAATAACCAACTTGAATTCTACTAATAACATCTGCATCTATATCACCATTATTTTGAACAATAAACCCGAGATATCTAAAGCATTCACACTTTTTAATAATTCGATCACCCATAGTCACAACTCAGTTTCGTAAGGCAAGAAACTCCCAATTTTCCTAAATATTTCCACACTTCAATTAGTATATCATCAAGTCCTACAAACTTTCTTTTGATTCTTTAAGTACATTCTTTATCATTTGTTTAATAGTGTTTGTTGTTTTATCCCACATAGAATTTGCTTCTTTGTGGACATTCCAAATCTTAAAATCTTGAGGTTCACTCATAAGGATAATTTTTTTTTGTCTTTTAGATGCCCTCATCTATTCTATAATAAAAATTCATAGTATTTTTTTTTAACAACTTTTCATCTTAAAATCTAAAACTAATAATCGATGTTGAGTACTTAAATCCTCACTTGGAATGACATTATAATCTTTATATTCTCGACGATCTCTTCTTTTCATAAGAAAATAATCATTTTTTTTTAATTAGACTCATTCTTATTAGTAATAATATCTTCTTCTCTTTTCTTGAATAAAGTATTAGCAATAATAAAATCATACGGTAAATCAAAATCTAATATAACTCTACTTTCTTTAATCATTTTAAAATCTTAGCCACCATGAATATTTCTAAAATCTTCTACCACTCTACCAACATTCTTATAAGTAATAATATATGTCTCTTTCCTTAAATAAAGTATCAGCAATAACAAAATCATACGCTAAATCAAAATCTAGTATAGCTCTACCTTATTCATTAATCAGTTCAAAACCTTAGCAACCACGAATATTTCTGAAATTTTCTACTACTCTACCGACATTTCCATTTAAATTTTCTCCAATAAAAATTCTTTCTTTAAGAGGCATATCATTTGTATTAATTTTTGTCATTCCAGATTTGTTCTTTAGAACCTATATCTAAACCTACTTGAGGGGCATAAGCATTTATAATATTAAAAATCTTAATATCCAAAATAATATTGTTTCCATTTAAAAATTAAAAACGAAATCGATTCCAGATTATTTTCTAGATATGCATGTGAAGCGCTTCCAATTGAGATTTTAATGAGCGCTCTAGAATTTCTATTAACCTGTTCGGAAGAATATGCAGCAGTTTGTGGCCATCAAGCGTTACCAGTTTGCCTAACTGCTTAATATTTTTGGGGTATTTACATACATACCTCACAATTTCATATATTTGTCTAGCAGCTAAACATTGATATTTACATGCATACCACCCAAATCCTTAACATCACCTCAAAAATACCACCATTACTGTCTTGTTAAAATCAAAATACACCTTTTCATGCATAGATTTGTTACACCAAGTTATTATAAGTATAAATAGATGAGAATTTTATTGTATGTATGTAAATTTACCAACAATTTCTTACAAACATCACCTTTTTGTTGCAGTTCCGGAGGAGAATCTCAAATCTACTGAAAAACCAGATTTGGTGATTTCTATATTTCTCCCAAACAGATTTCTCAAAACTCTTCACTGAATTTAAGTTGGAACTCTTTCTTGCAGAGCAGGTTTGATCATCCGTATGTTTCCTTCCTGTTTTATGGCACTGATACAGCTGGTGACTTCATCCCGGTCAAGCAACTACGAGAAAAATTCAATCGGCCTCGGCATGAACCCCCCATTGATTTACCAGATGGAGCTGAAGATGATAATATATAGGTTTTTCCTCTCCATTCATCTTCTGAATCATTAGATTTGCTTTAAAATGAGTGTAGCATTTCGAGAATCAATCAAGTATTGCACTAATCTTAATGTAAATCTAACAGCTGACAGTTTAGGGTTCTATTGTGATATAGGTTGACAGTTTAGGGTTCCTATTGCAGGGCTAAAGGCAAAGCTGCGGGGTCTAGTTTGCAATTTGTGATATAGTTTGGTTTGAGATGAAGAAACAGATATGAGCATTTTACTGTAAATATGCTTTGGTAGTTTGGAAGACAGTGATGGATGTATTGCATCATTCTTTGCAGCTTTTAAACTTAGTGCAGCATAATATTTTGCATGAAATTTACCAATTTGCTTTTAAAAAACTCGTCATTTAAGGACAATGCGGTGCGCTATGGTCGGCACAAGGTGTAGATTTTTACGCTCGAATGTGTAAGCACATTGGTTGGAAACAAAATGAAGAATTTCTAGGTGTTAGATTATAGCGCGCATTTTATGCAAAAAAGTGTAGATTTTGTGGATTACATGCTCTAATTACATAGTAGCGGTGCGACCGAGTTGAGTCGGCCTAAATTTGAGCTTGATTTATTAATAAAGTTTGACCTTGAGCTAGAGCTGGAGCCCACTTCTACGAGTTTGATTCAACTTGTTTATTATAAAAGAAAATGAATGATATTAATTTAAGATATTGTTATAATAATATGATAAATATAATGAATGATTATGAGCTAAATAATCAAAAAATATTTAATAAACTATATATTAGTATTTTTTTAAATATTATTAATATTTTAAAGATAAAGTCTTGAAATTGAAATTTAATATATTTTGAATGTATTTTATATTAATATATTTTTTAAACTAGTCTTCACGTGCTAATTAGTCAAGTCGGGTTGCTTTGAGGTTATATTAATATTTTTTTAAAATTAATAGATGGAGGGGCGGAGTTGGGTTATGTTGTCTTTTCTTGAATTTATAATTTTTTTATATAAATGTCAAAATTTAATGTTAGCTTCGTGTCCTTTTAGTATATTTCTTTATTTAATAATTTTTTAAAAATAAATATTTAATGATTTTACCTATCCTAAAAAATAATATTTATTTTATCTTTGGATGGATGTATAGAAATAAAAAAATAATAAAAGATAAATGAAATGATTTTTTCTAAATAATAAAAAAAAATATATATATTAAATTGTGAAGACAAGTCAACTTCAAATGGTTTGAATGAAGCTGATGGTGACATATGTTACTTGGTATATGAATTAAGTGGCTGTGGAAAGCTGTTGCTAGGTCAACCAGGGGTCTGGTCAAACTTTCTCAAATCACTAATGTCTTGCTGCACGGACTAATAAGCGAATTATGACATGATAATTTTTTTCTATTCATTTATATAATATTTTATTACATTATCATATTATATTATATTATATGCATGAAAATGTATATTTTATTTAAAAAAAAAATTAATTGAGGTGGTAATTTTATAATATTGTTAATGATTTGAGAGTTGAATGAGTAAATATTAAAGTTTAGTGGTTAGATTTGCAAATATATAATAATTTTATGGTATATATGTAAATTATTTAAATATTTATCATGCATATATAATGTTATGATGTTAGACAAAATTATTGAAGATAAAATTCAAATAGCTGTCTAGTTCATATAAAAACGATGGAATGAAACAAATTATCAGTGATATTATAATATTGACATATTCCTAGATTATACATATATGTGTGTGTACGTGCGCGCGCGCGTGCACGTAAGAGGTGGCTTGTTGGTTGGTAGTTTCGGCTTAAGTCCTCTCTATCCCGAGTTCGAATCCATCTGGGTCGAATTAACATATATGAAGTGGACAAGCACATGTTGTCGTCCATCATTTTTTAACTATATATATATGATGTGTGCTAGAAAATTCGTGGCAGCAAAGTAACAGACTATCATCTTAGCATTGTACGAAAGTTCAGCGCACACACAAGATAAAAGAGAAACAAGCGGTGATGACTCCAGAAGTTTTTACGTGAAAAACGCGTAAGCGAAAAACCACAGGGTCTGGCCAAAATCCACTATTGATTAATGATTACAGAAATCTCTTGTCCTACAGACGAGAAAGGGCAACTATATTTTTTTAGATTATAACGTCGACTAACGACGTCTGGTTGGTGGTGATCGATGGTGGTTAGCGGTGGTCGAAGACGGTCATCGATAGTCGGCGGAGGTCGGCGGTGGTCGACGATGATCAACGGTGATGCTGAGCTGCAGTTTCTCCTTAATTTCTTAGGCGCTCTCTTTAGACTTTTCCTCCCCTCATTTGAGGATGGGGGTCTATTTATAATGTTATGGGTGCAATTAATACAAGAATATCAATCATTTTGATCGGATGATCCAGAGAGTTTCCCTCCATCAAACGAAATTTAATGGACATTTGAGTGCCTTAACGATGTCAGAATTGAGTGATTTTATGCTCGTTGGATTTGTCTTGTCGAAACGCTCGATTCGAGTGTAATTCTTGCTAGTGTCGACATTTGTTTGACTATGAGTTTGATTTGACTCATATTGAACTAGTTTTTATATCATTGCATTTGTTTCATCAAACCGGTCAGTTTGAATATAAGTTTGTTGAAATCAAAGATCTGGATGAATTTCTATCAAGATCTCAATGTTTCTTATTCAAAATATTGTCTTGGGATCCGTGCCATGTCTCGAGATTCATGACGGATGATAAAAAATTGGTGTTGGCATATCAATATACATATCTATACAATTTCATGTAGAGTTAAGATGACATTTATAGAATAATTGAGGTCTAGATTAGAGGCATAAATACATATGAATTAAGTGGTATGTATGCAAGTCTTTTAAGTAGTGTTCAAATAGCTATTATTTACATGAAACAAAGTGTCGGCTTGTGGCGGTTGCAAGTTTGCAATTATTTGAAGTGTCAAGCTGCTACAAGAGAAGTTGTCGCAGAAGAATTTATCATTCAAAAAATTATGGTAATTATTATAATTTTATTTATTTTTTTGCAAAAAAAATCAAATCTAAGCTTATCGCAACCGCCGCACTTAGTCAGATCATGTTGAAAGACAAAGCTTCTCTATGCATTATTTTAAAAAAATAGGAAAACACTACAAACAAACAGAGGTGCTTCATCGTACCATCACGGCGCTATTTCCCTAACGCACTAAAATGAATCATTTATAAAAAAAATAAAATAAAAAAATAAAATAATTATTCTGAAATTTTAATTTCATGAATTTGTACTATTAAAGGGAAATGAGATATACAACATAAAGTGTAAATAAATCAAAGTGCTGAAAGCTTTACTACTAAATATAAAATATATTTTTTTTAAAATGATTGATTAGAGTTATAAATAGTACGATTTATTTATATTTATTTTAAAAATAAATAGATAAAACTAAAATGAAATCTAATAAATATAATTAATTGCAAAAAGAAATAATGAAATTGCACTTTCGACATTCAGCAATTGCATTCATGCTGTTGGTTGGTTCATATTTAAAGCAAGCACGGGAATAGGATCAAATGGTAGACTTTCATCTGCTAGGGGATGAAACTATTATGCGCATAGGTCGCATGCGAGCAAAGAAGATGCTGTTGTGGATTCGTTAGGGTTTCAATGCCCCCATTCCTGACGGCAGCCCCAACGGTCTTTTTTGACGGCGTTTCATTTTAACAAACAATATTTATATTTTTACGATTTAAAAATCTACTCAAATTAATTATGCTAAAATCAGATCAAATTGGAAAAGGGAAATATTCAATGTTTATCAGGCCAACCCGGGTTGAATTGGATGACATAATAAATGTAAATAATAAATACTTTAAATTTCAAATGATAAGCATAAATGATTCATTAATCAAATTCGAGTAAAATTTTAGACGAAATATGGTAAAAAACATCCGAGTTTAACAAATACTTCTTAAAATTAGACTTAGGGTCCGTTTGGGGCAGCTTGTGTGTTTCAAGATAAGCTACTTATTCTGAAACACGGCCCGCGAGCAGGCCGCAGGGGTCGACTCGCGGCCTGCGTTTAGTGTAAAAACCCAAACGCAGTTTCGGATAAGCTGATGAAATGCGCGAACCAAACAATATGGCGGCGTTTTCAGCGTTTTGAAAACGCCGCCGCATTTTCAGCGTTTTGAAAACGCCGCCGCACTTATAAGCTACCCCAAACTGACCCTTATTCGAGATAAAAAAAAGAAAATAAGTCAAATAACGCTTAGCAATATAAATAAAACAAAAAAAAAATCTTTTAAAGATGACAAATTCAAATTTGTCTTCATTGAAGGTCTCCATGAAAGTTGTTTCCCCAGAGTTGTATGACCATTATTTTCTCCGAAAACTTCCAAATCATCACATTCAATTGTTTCAATTATAGCATCATTTAAACCTTCCCCTATACATATAAAATTCTTTTTTTTGAAGATGTGTAGTATGAGCAAATAAATAATGTAAAATTTCAATTTAAAAGAAAAAAACTTATGTTGAGATTGCATAGTTGATGCTATGTTGGGATCTTCAGTGGGTGGAATAACATTCTTTCTTTAAATTTCATTCTCTAAATCATCATGGTTAACTTCACGAGAAGGTTATTCATCAACTCCCCAAAAATCTTGTGTAATCCAAAGGATTGTAACTTCTTTTTTCATATGCAATCTAAAATATAATGATACAAAAATTAAAACTACGTATTAACAATGAACGTATATTGATGAAAAGTATAATATATTCTTCATCTAAAATAGAAATACATTATCCACGTCACCTATTCTTTAAGTTGAGGTTGTATCAAACATATACGAGATCATTTAATCATTGATGCTCTAGATGATTTCTTCGCTTTGTATGGATTTGCCAAAAAACACTCCAATTTCTTTGACATCACAAGGAGGAAGAAGTTTGACTAAGAATCTTTATAGCTAATTTTTTTAGATTTGGAGCATTTGAGCCTAACATCTTCCACCATTCATCTGGAGGAAACAAAAAAATTTTAATAGGGATACAACTCAAATATATGTATAAATGAAATACTAATAAAATATATGACATTATCAGGGCTATTGGGCCATTGGCTTTCCAAAATCTTCAAAATTATCTCGAAAAAGAAAAGGTTAGTTCATTTTCATTCCATAATAAGAAGAGAGTTTATAACCATACCCAATATCTATGATTGAATCAATAACTTTCTGCACAAAAGGTGAATTTAATGCATTTGTAGGTATGCAACAATAAAAAAACCATCTAGTTCTTGCCAAATCAGCACAATGTATAACATCTTTAGATGCTAACACAATTTTGATAGAAGGTTGTGAACCTGGTTTTGTTCTTGGAACAAAATAATTTTCTATTCATCCACCTTTCTATTTTTTTTATCAAACACTTTATCACGTGCAGTTGAACTTTCTTCTTTAGAAAAATAATTATAAGCTCTCTCTTCTTCAATAGCTAGATCATAATATAAGCATATGCGCTATTCAGGTTATGGATGGTCTTACTAGACATATACAGGAGGATGTACCTTGGTCTTGGTGTTGGTGTATTCTTTTTGCTGATGATATCTTTCTCGTGGATAAAACGAGAGAAAAAGCCCAAGAAAAACTTGAATTATGGAGGTCTACATTGGAGTCTAAAGGTCTTCATTTAAGTAGAACTGAAACTGAATATATAGAATGTAATTTTAGTAGTCATAGCTCTAATGACAAAAATGTGACTTTGGGTAATCAAATTATTAAAATGTGTGAACGATTTAGATATCTTGGGTCAGTTGTTCAAAGCGATGGTGATATAGATGGGGATGTTAATAGTAGAATTCAAGTTGGTTGGTTGAAATGGAGGAATGCTTCGGGGGCCTTTTGTGTGATAGAAAGTACCGCTTAGACTGAAAGGAAAATTTTATAAGACGGTGGTGAGACCTGCAATGCTATATGGCGTTGAATGTTGGCCTTTAAAAGAGAAGCATAATAATAAGTTAAGTGTTGCCGAGATGAGAATGATTAGGTGGATGAGTGACTTTACACTTAGAGACAAAATGCAAAATGAATATATCCGTGATAGGGTTGGTGTAGCTCCTGTGACAGACAAAATAAGAGAAAGTCGTCTTAGATGGTTTGGTCACATTAAACGTCGACCATCTGATGATCCGATTAGGAGAGTAGATGTTTTATATTCGACTTGTGTTAAGAAAGTAAGAGGTAGACCTAAAAAGACTTGGGCTTATTGTATTAAAAATGATCTTAATTTACTAGAACTAAATGAAAATATGACACTAAATAGGACACAATGGAGAAAAAGGATTCATGTAGCCGCCCCCACGTAGTGGGATTAAGGCTTTGTTGTCGTTGTACTTGTTTCAAATTCTCTTACATCAGATAACGTATATCATGTGATATTTTTTGCATGCAACAATATTATCTTTCACAAGTTTTTCATTATTTTAATACATCCATTTATGTATATAATCTCATAAATAAGCATGTACAATGTTTTTTCCATCAGGGCCTTTAAATTCACTAAAATAATTCCACGCTATGACTACTTTTTCTAGAACATATTGTGTGGAAATAACAAGTTGACTTCCAGAAGGATCCATTCCAATTCAAGCAATATAAACATGATTAATATATTAGTAAACAATACATATATAGATATGAAATGAAAATTGAAACACATTTTAAAATATCTTGCATATAACATAACAAATCAATGACTAATGACTAATATCAACCCTAGCAAACATTCAAATCACAAAAAAACTCATCTTTACGTTAAGGGGTCTGTCAAATGGCTTTATTTGGATCCGTTCGAGCCCGAAATTGACTTGTGATTTATTATATTCAATTTTATTCAGTAATATATATATATATATATATTATATATATATATAAATAAATAAAAAATATTTTGAGTCGAACCTGAGCCAGTTCTGACCGATCTATATATGACTCAAAATCAGCTCGAAGAAATTCCATTCAAAGTTTTAGCTCAGAGCACAACTCAGTTATTTCGATCCGACCAAGATGGAGCCAAAATGTGACTCAAATTTTTTAGGGAGTAATGATATTCAGGCTAAATTTACAGCTTTAGTGGCACACATGTAAATATGAATGTAATTGTTCGCTATGTAAATCCATATAGATTGAGTGGCTTGCTCGTAATTTATTATTATTATTTTTTCTGTGAGTTTTAAGTTTGGGAATGAAAAGTAATCACAGCCATCCATTCCCTGTTAAATAGCACGAATTTTAAAGCATATCAAATGGATGCCATCAACATTTCGAAACTGTTGTATTCTTCGTCCTCTTATTCCGTCTCTGTTCATTAACGGTATACCCTAACCCTACTGCCGCTTACTCTCTCTCTCCCCCCGTTTGTTATTTAGAGCAAAATTCGCTTCAGAATCGATCTGTCTCTGGTTTCTAATTGGATTTGTATTTAAGGGATTTGATTTCTTATCAAAATTTCATAAGAACAGCAGTTTCTCTGGTTTCAGATTTTAGCAGTGGATAAATTAGGCATTACGATATTGGAATCAATTTTTGTTCTTGCTGTTAGATTGGTGTTTTCTTTCAATGATGGAAATAGGTAATTGGGGCGGTATCTGTGCTTTGATTGACTTCTGTTAAAGCTTGCATGGGATGTCATGGAGGTTCGGCAGAGACTGGTTGCTTTACGCCAACTGGACTTCTGCCGGACCGAGAAATTTCTGTGGGAGGAGTTATTGATTCTGAGAGATGGTCGGCGGCAGAGGAGAGGGTTGCAGAGCTCGTGGCTCTCATTCAGCCGAATGAAGGATCATGGAAAAGGAGGCAGGATGTAGCTGATTATATTCAGAGCCTTATTGGAAAATGCTTCTCTTGTCAGGTGCTTTTGCTTTATCTTGTTTGCATTTAGCTTTTGCTTTTCTCTCATTTTGTGATCGATGAGTTAAGTTATTGCTGTTTCCGCAGTTATTGATTTTTTTTTTCTTCGGGTGAGTGTTGATTTGGAGCTTTAGGTTAGGAATATTTCTCCTCATGCTTGAGATTTATATATGTTTAGAGAAATTTGAATGGGATCACCTTCGTTTTCTATATGTTGAGCATCTTGTTTTTCAAACGGTATATTTGGAGATGAGAGAATGAATTTTGGTGAGGGATCTGAAGTTGCATAAAAAAGTTACTTTCTTGCTCTCTTTTTCCCATGAAGAGAATTTTCCATAAAAAAATATTTGGTTTTCAAGAAAGAAAGCATTCATACTTTTTTTTTTGGTTAGGGTTTATCTCATGAAAACACATTTTTTGGATCTAGGATCGAAATTTGTTGGGTATGTGAGCAAAAACAGTGTTAGCAAATTCTTGTTGTGATAAATATGAATTAGTTTTGCAAATGGAAGTATTTCTTTCTTAAAATAATATAGTTGTGTGATATACTACAAAACTTGGATCAGCATCCTAATAGCTAAATATGATAATGTTATGATTGCATTTTCTCATACATAATATTATGGCTTGGGCTACTTTTCTAGAAAATATTATGAAGTTATGGAGAATATCAATCATAATGTTAAGAATGTCAAAATTGAAAAATATAGTGTGAGCTAGAATTTTAGTCTAAATGGTGTTGCCACATCACCTTTGTACCTCCCTTTGGTAAGTCATCAAATTCTAAGTCAAAGCAAGTATGACAAGCTATCTTTTTAAACATCTAGAGGGTTGTGCCATCTCTTAATTAGTCTGTTCAAAGATGTAGTTATGAAATAAAAAGCAGGTTCTAAGGTGCATTTAGCATTCTATATGAAAATGGTTTTAAAATGAAATACTTTTTTTTTTAAACTCTTGTATATCTCCTTATGGAAAGCTTGATGCCTAACCTCTTATCCTTGATTTGGTGAGCTTGGATATCTCTCTTTGGGGAGATATTTCATGTTTTATTTATTTTTTTGATTTTTTTTTATTTACCATCTTTACATTTATTTTGAGCATATCGGAGCTTCTCTCAAAGTTTCTGCACTTTTTATTCACCAAATACCCATGCCGTTTACAATCTATCCAAACTCAGCCATTCTATCTTCCTTCCACTCTCCACACCAAAACCTCCACATAACAACCCCATATAACTTGAAATTCTTATTTCTAACGTCCTTAGCTTCCCAAATAGACTTATATCCCTCCTAACTCCATACCTAACTTCCCTTTAAGCTCCTCGCAAAATCAGTCAAAAAAAAAAAAAATGCAAATCTTGGTCCTCTTCTTGTAAGCCTCAACCACCTTTTTTGCATCCATTTCCCAAATTCCAAAAGCCCTAAAAGCACTCACATTACATTCTTTTGTATCTTATACAACTAAATAAAAATAATCTGAACCAAACTCTATCAATCACCACTATATAAATTGTATAATTGGTAGCCAATACTTGCACAATGCTGGAAATAATACATCCAATTCAGTACTTGAGCCAAGAAGAGAAAAAATTAACTCAAAGAAATATTATTGAAAATCCTCTTCTTATATTTCTCAATTATCCCTATTTATAAACACTAAACCCATCCTCAGATCTAAAAAAAAGGGAAATTTACATACGTTTCACATTATTCATATTTATTCACATATCTCACACCTAAACTTTCATATTTACATACATAGCACTTTGGTTCTTTGAATCTATGCATGAAAATGTGTATTTCACTTTTAAAAAGTTATAACAGCTCTATTTTTATGTGATATTAAAGATTTGGATGCTATTTGTGTAAATATGAAAGTTTTGGTGTGACATATGTAAATACATAAGAATTGTGTGTTATATATACATAAGAATTGTGTGTTATATTGTGTGTTATATATGTAAATGCCCCAAAAACAATTCACCTAAGTCAACATAGAGAACTATTAAATGGTCAACTGTGAATTCATCTGAACCAACATAGAAATTTAGATCATAAAGTAAAATAAACTACGAACAGAATGTCAACTAAAGTGAAATAAGAACTCAAAATGTTGATTTGCATAAGGAAGTTTTCGAGCAAAGGGACAAATTACTCCACAAGTATCTATTTAGTGAGCTGATTATCATAAATCTTTACTGCTTGTCGAATTTCTTTCCTTTCCATTCTTTAGCGATTAGTTTATAATAGTTGTATTTTGGGGCATTTACATATTGAACACGTAAAATTTCATATTTACATGCATATCACTCAAATCTTTCACAACACGTAAAAAATATCTCCATCACCATCTTTTAAAAATAAAATACACCTTTTCATGAATAAGGTAATGGTATTATACATTTAAATATTAAACTTTGGGTGTTAGATATGTAAATACACAAGAATTGTGTAGTTTGTACGTAAATTTCCCTTGTATTTTCTGTGAAAGCTGCTCTTCCTTTAAAATCTATGAAATGACTGTTGTGGTGATTACCAGGTTTTCATTTTTGGATCTGTGCCCCTGATGACATATTTAACTGATGGAGATATTGACTTAACTATATTTAGTGATGATGAAAATCTGAAAAATACATGGGCCGGCAAAGTCCACCAAGTTATGAAGGAGGACCAGAAGAATGAAAATGCTAAATTATATGTAAAGGAAGTTCAGCTAATCGAGGCAGAAGTACGCCTTCTAAATTTGCCGATTTTTTTGCTTTTGATAGGTCTTCTTTTTGTTCATATCAGCTGCCATTATAATTTAGCAAAATCTACCTTCTTTTTTTTGAAATTGCACATCTTGGACATTATTTCTTAAGAAAATACCTTTTTGCAGGTGTACCCAATTCTATTCCATCTAATTTAATTCAATTCTTTAACATCCGTATGAGCTATAATGTTCTAGATGAAATGGATTGATTTTTTTTTTGGCAATTAACATAAGTTACTTTTTTAGTAAGATAAATCTATGGAATCAAAGAATTAATTGTTTCACTTGAAAGATTACTGGGCTGTAGAAAAAGTGACGCCAGTACTTAGTAGATCACGTTTATTTTGGTTCTTTATTTTATATCAGAAGTTGGTTAAAAAGTTGATCTTTAAAGCGATGAGGATCTTTGTTGTGGTCTCGAGAAGGAGAAAATGCAATAAGAATTCACATACATAGCACACAATTCTTTATGTATTTACATCTCATACCTAAATTTTATATTTACACACATAGCTCTCAATTTTTTAATATCACATCAAAATAGCACTATTACCACTTTTTAAGTGTAATACACATATTCATGCATAGTTTTAAAACATCAAAGTGCTATGTATGTAAATATGAAAATTTAGTTTTTAGATATGTATTTGATAGTTAGGGTTTTCTTCTAACATTCTACTTGGTCTGCCTAATTCTATTTTGCTAGGTGCTTTGTTTAAGTCTCGCATAAGTTTAACTTTTAAATCTTTTTTTTCATTTCTATCAATTTATGTTAACGAAGCATTTAACTTTTTTTGTTTCAAGGTCTAAAGTGTTTGAACATCCTAAAAATATAAAGGAGGCTCAATTTGGATGATTTCTATTAGTTCTGCTAACACCACAAAAATGAATATTAGGGGTATTATTTGCTTTAAATGTTATAAATGGTTGTATATATAATCAATCTAAAACTCAAAATCTGTTGTTGGAAGAAATTGTTGACTCTATAACTTTTTTGATCTTGAAGAAATTATTGATGACATCTCTTTATTTCATGAAGAATTTATCATTGTTATTGTTGCATATTCCAATGTTATGAGATGCTTGCTAGATACAAAATATGATTAAAAGATTGGAAATGTAGAAATTATTTTTGAATATATGTTACAAGTAAAAAAAAAAACAAGAAGATTATTTTTTTATTGATAGTGCAATGCCTTTAGTGTATTTTCCACACATATATTGACAAGAGATAACATAAAACCTAACGCGGGAGCTTTTCATCCTGCGGTACTGCGCGGACGAGGAGACTATGGTTGCTACGGTAATCGCGCCGCGCGGATCCTTCTTTCTTTTTAGCTTCCCCCTCTCTTCTTTTCACACCTTTCTATAAAGAATCTCCTCCCTATTCATTGCCTACCTTATATACCACTTTCCACTTCTATCATATTTCAAATTCCTTCCTTTTTCATCCCACCCCCCTTCTTAATTCTTGCTTAGTCTATCTCCTAATCTCTCCTATTTATAGGTGTTGTTTTCTGCAAACCAGACTGTTTTTGGATGAGTGGAGAATTCTGAATTCTGCCTTTGAGGCGTTCTTCCTCTTTGGGGGGTTGTACCCAACAACGAGAAAATGCTCCGACTTTAACTTGTCTACGGTGGTGACCATCTCCAAGGGTTCGGGTGGTGCTCCGGCTGTAGCCCGACCCCGACAAAACATTTATCCTTCCGCAGCCCCTTCGACCCTCGCTTCTAGCAACTGTCAACCATTTCCAGGTCTCTGATCCACTGCCGAACCACCGTCCACCACTTTCACTTGTTGCTGCCCACCTCCCTGCTCCCCAAAACCTACTTTCCACTCGCTGTTTTCCCTTGCCGCCGCCTCTAAGTCCGTGTTTAGCTGCTGCCATCACCCTCACAGCACCTCGCCGGCTGTTGTACCCTCTTTCTGGCCTCCTGTTGCGCCCATCTCCTCCAACCAATCCCTCGACCAATTGCTCAGCTGCCGTCCACCACCCTAGGGTGTCTTCCGTGTTTGTATTGTTGTTATTCTCCTATTATCAAGAGTCGATGTTTGTAGTCCTTTTGAATTTCAACAATAAAATTATAACTTTCTATTATGGTTTGAGTTTTTTTCTCCGGTATCATTTAAGCCTATCATGAATTTTTTTCATATTAGCTAGGTAACCATAGCTCATTGTTTATAACCATTAGATACTTCATTTCAATTAAATTTGTAGTTATTAAGATAAAATTTGGAGATGAATAAAAGTTCATTTAAAACTCCATATTGATCATTTTAATGCTTGATATGCTTTTTGGTCTGTCTAATGCACTCAAAATAATTATCAGGTTGTTGAATTGGACTTTTGGACTTTTTTTAAAGTAAAATATTTGGTGTTTTTTTGCTGTTGACATTTGATTTTTAGTATTGACGAGGAAAAACATGTTGAGCATTTAAAGTTAGTTTTGATGACACTAAGGGAGAAAGAAACAAATCTATCAATCTTAAAAAAGAAGTCATACTTCTAGATTTTGTTATCTCTTATATTAATTAGGCTTCAACGTAATCTTGGTGAGGTAAAAAGTGATTCTTAATTGGTCAGCCACGAAAGCTTTTCTTATGCTTGGGTTTTTCATGGACTTACTATATTTAGTAGAATATTTATTAGGAGTTTCAATATTTTTATATTATTTGTTGATGGTATTGGGATTGTTAAATAAGGAATGAAAAGAACAATAGCTTCATGTACTAATTAAGGAAAAACATTAGCTAAGGATTCATATGCTTAATATAAAAAACAAAGTGATATGGATTCATATGCTTAACTTGGGAAAGAAAGAGCCGTGGATTACCCCCTCCTCCCATCCACTAAGATAAGAAGTTTTGAGCAACAATTTTAATTTTTTATTTCCTTGTGATTGGTAGTTTTCATGTTTTTTATGATAAATTTTATGTATAAATACTCATTGGAGGAATGAACATGATGAGCTTTTTAACCACTTTTTTATGTGAATACTGAGCAAAGTTAGTATTCTCTTTCCAATTTTTGTTTTTATTGCTCTTTCATTCCTCTTCTCCTTGTTATGTTTTTTATTTTTTATTTGCCTTTTAAATAGTCGACTATCTTTAGTGGTCAAAGTTATACTAAAAGAGAATTCCAGCTACAAAAAGTTTGTATCGTTTGAATGAAAGAAAGTATTTTAAGTGATCTGAAATTATGAAGACTTTTGTAAGATGAAAGAGAAAAATTCATCTTGTTGATTATCTTATGGATCTGAAAGATCCCAAGATTTCTTGTTTGGATGAAATAGATTTCATGATTATATCGTGATTATAGAGTACTATGATGCTTGAAATCAGTGGATCAATATTCTTAACAATCATAAAAGGTGTTTGAAAAGCTGTCTAATAGAGTTGCTTCTAAGTTAAAGCTTCTATTTACTGAAATCTAGAATTAGATTACCATCATAATCTCAAGATGAAATATATAATGATGATATCATGTTCCTCAAATAACTTGTAGAAATAAAAGAAAGTGCGTTTGAGTTTCTTGTATGAATCAATAATGAATTCGATAATTTTCGAATTTAAGTCTTGAGCAGAGAAAGCCCATCATTCCTAAGTGTGGCACTCTCTCATATGAACCAGAGGAACAACGATAGTAATACTTGACACTGAAAATTAAAACCTCGGTCATGATATTCATAGAGCTCCGAGGGAACTCTTGCCTTTGAATTTTTCTGGAACGAAGGATAAAGTCCTTTCCTCAAAAGAAATTTATTATGCAGTTATTACGAGAAAAATGGGCATATAAAAAAAATGTTGGAAGGTCCATGTAAACCCTAAGGCTTTAATGAAAATAATTTAGGCAAATCAAAAGAGTAGGTTTTTTTTTTGTACTAAAATGACTCGACATATATTAATTTGCAAGTTACTAAATTTTCTTAATTCTATTAAAATATCTTTCGAGTTATGTTTTTAACTCAAAGTAGTCAAAACTTTAGCCCTTGTACTTTTAATTTCTTTGGCAGTTACCCTAATACCTCAATAATAGATTTAGGAGGTGTTGATCAAATGATAAATTTTGTCAATATCTTTTAAATTTACAAATATTTCTAGCAATAAAAAAATAAATCCAGCCTATGGCTTTCTAGTCATTCTTGCAGGCCAAGAAAATATTTTGATTTTTCTTGCATTTACTCACAATAATGGGCTACATCATATTAAATTAGCAGTAAGTATTCTATACATTCATAAATTCATCAAAGATCACGAATGCAAAATGACATTTTTTTAATTATTTATTATTTATTTTTGGATCTCGCTACATGGAAGTCGATTGGGGAAGCTAGATAAAATGATGTATTATACCTATTTGAAGATAATCGTATTCATCCAGACTTTCATATTTACTTTAAATAAATATATCATTTAGGACCATCATTACAGTTTACTTTTATCTCTCATTGAAAGTCTTACAATATATGTATGCTTCTTTTTTCGAAATGTTAACATTGAAAATTTTTATTGCGAGACTTGTGAAATTGTTGAATATCATAAATTTTCTTTTTTAGAAAGTGAATCTAGATTCTTTTTTCCTTTTATGATATTTCACTTTAATATTCAGATGCCCTTAAAAAATCATAATATTTTCTTTCTCGACATCTCATCAAAACAGATATAAAAAGTTAAAAGCAATACATTACTCCTATCACTGAACATCTTCAATTTATAAAAGAAGAGCAAAGCTCATCTAAAGCCTCTAATAAGCTTAGAAGTCGAAAGTGTTGTTAGATAACTCCCATTGCAAGGATCAACTGAACTCTACATAATTTCACTGTATCACATAACCAAATACAGTCTTTCAAAAATATTTTCTTGCACAAATTATTTCTTGCAATTTATGGCTTCACCGCCATCAAAATATCTCAAATCTTATTTTGAGGCATTAGAAAATAAAAATTGGAAGGATGCATCAGCAAAGAGATGAATG